ATATTTTGAAATTCAGTGATTTAGGAAGAAATTATTTTCCATTAAGAGGCATCAATTGACATGAACCATACCGTTTGAGCCGAGATGTCATTTATTCTTAAAACCCTAGTTAATCCTTACAGGTTTCTGTGTACCTCAGAACACTGGTAATCCTGAGAAGGCTGCACTGAAGGTTCTGATACTGAAGAAAACATTGATTGGCACTTTGTGAGTTAGACGGAGAACAGGATTTTTAAAAAGATAATTCAGTGGTTTGGAAATTCGGGTCTCAATCAGCTACATTAAAATCCCCTGGTTTTCCTGGTTAAAGCATCAGTTTCTGGCCGGGCACGGTGGCTCACACCTGGAATCCCAGCACTTTGGGAGGCCAAGGCGGGCACGGATCACGAGATCAGGAGATCGAGACCATCCTGGCCAACACGGTGAAACCCCATCTCTACTAAAAATAAAAAAAACTAGCCGGGCGTGGCGGCGCCTGTAGTCCTAGCTACTCGGGAGGCTGAGGCAGGAGAATGGCATGAACCTGGGAGGCGGAGCTTGCAGTGAGCTGAGATCATGTCACTGCACTCCAGCCTGGGGACAGAGTGAGAAAAAAACAAAAACCATCAGTTTCTGCCTCTCCGGCCCGTGGTTCACCAGCGCCAGGGCCCCTGGAGTGCCGCCCTTCTGAGCTTGCCCTTGCTGCCTGGTGTTGCGTGCTGCCTTCAGGGCCAGCTTGGTTTTTGTTTCTTGGGGGTTTTTTGTCCTGCTATGACAACAACATTCTGCCTGCCCTATTTCCTATTGAGGGGCAAGCTGGACTTGTTTTTTATGCTGCCTCTTATTATTGAGATGTAATTCACACAAAAATTCACCATTTTAAAATGTACAGCTCCGTGGTTATTAGCATATTCACAGTTCAGCCATCACCACTGCCTCACCCCATAATCTTTCTGACCCCCGCTAGGAAACCCTGTACCTGCCAGCAGTCATCCTCACGGCCCCAGCCTTTTCACTGTGATTGGTAATTACTGTGACGGAAGGTCTGCTCTTCAGGGCCTGAAAGCTCACCTGCCGGGTGACACCAGGCTCAGTTGTGTGCTTTATTCTTCATTGAGAAAAACCAAGGAAAGTTCATTCAGAGTAGCTATCTCTCTAGCAGTAGTGGGGGAAGGCCAGTATTGTAAGAATTTCCCAATTTCAGTAAGTAAAAATTCTGTATCCTAAAGCAGTTGTAAACTCTTAACACTCAATTTGAGAAAGGACAATTAAGAAAAGGACTGGTCTAAAAGTAGGAGGTTCTTTCTATATGTAAAAACTTGAGAAGTTTAAAAACACTTTTTTTAACCCTAAAATATTTATTAGCTGGTATTAGATAACATCCTTTGTCATTTTCAAACTTATGTATTTTAATGGGTTCTTAACTAATTACCTATTTTTTAGTTTTTGTGGGTACATAGGTGCATATATTTATGGGGTGTGTAAGATGTTCTGATACAGGCCTGCAATGTGAAGTAAGCACATCATGGAAAACGGGGTACCCATCCCCTCCAGCATTTATCCTTTGAGTTACAAACAATTCAGTTATACTCTAAGTTATTTAAAAATGCACAGTTAGGCCGGTGCAGGGGCTCACTGCACTTCGGGAGGCCGAGGCAGGCGGATCACCTGAGGTCGGGAGTTTGAGACCACCCTGACCAACATGGAGAAACCCCGTCTCTACCAAAAAGATACAAAAA